AATTTAGACACATCAAAAAACCGATTCAGTTAAACTCGTTGTAATCTTCATAAATGGAAAGACCATTGGCAAAAGGTGGGACTCCACAGTGCCATCTGGTGTCACAGTGTTATAATGCATATAAAGCATTTTTTTCTCTACCAATGTAGCTGACTCCCTAAACACAGGAAGGTGATGCAAGTTACACCAGCTTAAATTAAGCCAACGTGAAGTAGGTCCATTCAGGAAGCTCTGGGAAGGGCAAATGGTGTGGGAAGGTTCAGGGTGGCAGGAGAGGTTATATTGTTTATTAATATCCTTCCTAACTTGTGCTAGCAAGTTCCTTTTCTTAGCAGAGTTACATTCCCCTTTTTACATGCACAGCAGATAGCTGGTTGCAGGTTCGTGTGAGCCTCTCATTATTATACAAGTCAGTCTGTCTCAGATTGAATTGTACGTTCCTGGTAAGTTCCCTTGAATCCCTCTTAAAAGAATAAAGACACCACAATCTGATTCAAAATCAAGAAAAGAAGTTCACTCACAGTTGGATTCCTGAGGCAGACTTGGTTACAAATACGTACATGTGGATCTACCCCATATGGGGGAATAATCCCAGTGCTTCTGCTAGCTGAGAGCTGGCAGAGCAGTCCTAGTTAAAAGCTGGTCAAACGAAGAAGGAAGTCAAAAAGAAGGATGCTACGTGACTTGTCCTTTTGTTACCTGGACAGGTTAGGTCATACTCACCTATCACATGCAAAAGGAAGGATGCTCCAGCCAGGAGAAACAGGAAGTTTCAACTGGCTGGACCAAACATTTCCTCGCATGTCCCCTTTAGCATTACAAGGAATGTTGTACTTGACTGCCTCTCATGGATCACATCCCACAAATGGAAGACAAGCCCTCAAACCACAGAACCATCTCAGACAGCATCCCTACCTGTTGGCACCAGGTGTGTACGAACTGCAAGGTTGCACAGAGATAGCTCACTGGAAGCATCTCAGAAATGCCGGTCCAGGGATGCAAACAAACAGGGGACAGAGCACAGATGACATCCCAAGCAGGGCTCAGCACAGCAATCCAATCAGCACTCATTGAGCATCACATTCCCCAGGCACGCACCACATGCTCCACCAACCACACAGCCATAAGCAAGGCACGAGGAACACTATAGCTCACCTTGTGCCACACACCCCACCCACATTGTGCAACTTGCAAGCATGTCAGACATACACACGGGCAGCTCCTGTCACCTCCTCACCTCCAACGAAAACCACGCAGCACAGATATCCAAGGTTGTAAAGACTGCAGAGAGAATAATTGGGTGCACTATTCCCACTTTGGATCAAATCTATACTTCCAGGTGCCATAAGAAAGCTGCAGAGACAGTGCAGGACAGTGCGCACCCCAGAAATGATCTCTTTCAGCTTCTGCCTTCTGGAAAAAGGTTCAGGTTTATAAAGACTAGGACTAGCCACCTGAGAAACAGTTTCTATCCAAATGTGATTTTGGTTTTAAACGCAGTGTAAGGTAGTCTCTATGGGAGTATATTGTATTTAATAATGGGGTATCAGAGTTTTTAGGGGGTTAACCAGGCTGGGATAGCAGGCTTGTTGGTTTTTGAATGTCTGATGTAGATCTTTTCAATTTTGTTGTTCTGTATGGGACAATGACAATAAAGATTATCGTATTGTATCGGGTAGATGCAAAAGGACTGCTCCTGGGGGTTTCTGGGAGCTGTGGTCCACAGGCAGTTGCAAGAGCTACCGCAGGCTGACCTCCAGGGGTGGAAATATGGGCTCCTCGGCTGCTGTCACCCCTGAATAAATGAGAGCTAGAGCTGACAGTTGTGAAAGTTTGGCCTTTTATTGAGCACACTTTGAAATGAGGCTCCCCTCTGGTTAAGGGGTGGTTGAAAGGTCTCAGTCACAGGGTGGCCTCTCTGCATGAGGGGGATCCATGGTGGGCATAGAAATTTGTTGCCTTGTGGCCAGAGAACAAAAGAGGGGGTGACATGTCAGTACCACAGAACTGTCAACAGAGCTGCTTGTTTGTCTTAAATGTTCCACTGCGAACTTCAGTGCTTTTGAAACTGGTGACCACAAAAGCACAACTTGGACAAACTCATGCTTCAACATCCACAATTATTTTAGTTTGCAGGCATCAGATTGTAGACAGGGACTAATAAGACAGCTGGATGTGTTCCTGTTTGCCCCTTCCCCTTGACACTCATAATATACTATGTACAGTGGCATTTTAAAATGCTTACAGTACATTCCTATGCAGGTATTTACTTGGGCACGAGTGCTCTTAGTTTCATTGAGGCTTAACTTCTGAGTATACATGCAGAAGATTCACTGTTAACATAAACTGATTTTTCCCATGTGAGAATCTGAAAATAGCATGGATGTATATAGATGATACATCTTGCTTTTCTGAAGGGGTGAGACAACCTGCTTTCCTGCTGTCAAAACACAATGAAGATATTTTTTTATTACAGCCTTTCAAGAATCTACATTGACAGCCAAGACTAGAACGTGTCTCTAATGTGCCTCTTTTTTATTTTTAGTTTGCTATTGTTCAAAAGTGTGATCTAGACAAGAGGGCCCATATTTTATCCAAGCCCATCACAATACAGCAACAACAAGGCACTTCAATTACTGCCGCAACAAGCTACCAATCCAACTTTATCAATCCAATTTTTCATCCTCTTTCTCTGACTCGACATTTGTTCTATATGTCAGAGTAATCTCATCAACCTCAACCCACTTTAGGGTAATCAATCTCAGTTACAATATTCAAACGTAATGAAAAGAGAAAGCTCCCAACACGAAGAGCTAATAGCTACAGTCACGATTCTGGGACATACAGTCACTGCTTTTGCCATCTGCACTGGGCCAGTTCATCAAGCTTAGCCAAGCTGGAGATGCATGTAATCCCAACGAATATTTAGTATCGGCTCTAGCCCACATCAAGAGAACAAGGATGAAGATGCTTGGTGGAGCATCTTTGAAGGTGTCCCCTATTTTTATTGCAAGGTAAGCAAGGGTGGCTTTTTCGAGCGCAGTGCTTGGATGCCTTTGGCTACAATCCTGTCTTGCCCTTAAATATCCCAGGTGATCATGGGACGCCACTGAACCTTAGGGCAGAATGAAGCGTTACAACATTTTAGATCGTTGTTTCCTTCCTAGAAGTGACATTAATGTAAAACGTAAGTGGCTCTCAGAGAACCACCTCAGGGCAGTACATAAAAACACAGGAGTTTTAAGTGTTGCTAAGGTGAAGCCATCACCATTCGCTGCTAATTGCTGAGAGCTGTACTGCCTTTGGCTTCCTGGTAGCCCTGCGGTATTAGCAAAGTCAACAAAAGGGATGCATCAAGGTGGAGGACATTGAACGGGGCCCCAGGCACATCCCACTGAACCAATTTATGCTGGTCTCCTGGGGGAAGCAAGGGGCTGGTAGGCAGTGAAGTGGAGGAGGGGATCCGAGCTGCATGTAGAATCTGCATGCAGGTAGGATCTGCAGGGGCGAAGAGTGGGGAGAGGAGCAGTCTCACACCTAGCCTTTCGTCAGGCATTGGGGAGACTGGCATAGTGGATCCAATCTGCGTATTAATCCAGGGGGAAAGAGCTGGTCATCAGCCTCTCACAGCAGCTGCTGTCATCAATGGTGACACAAGTCCCCTCCATGCTCATTCCCCTCGCCCAGAAGAGATTCTGGGTGGCTGGGTAAAGGGCCCTATTACTGGCTAAGCTGTTGTGGGAATTAGACTTAATTCCCATTTGCAAAGCCTTGGGTTATTTGACCTTTTAGTTCAGGCATAGGCAAACTTGACCCTCCAGGTGTTTTGGGACCACAATTTCCATCATCCCTGACTACTGGTCCTGTTAGCTAGGGATCATGGGAGTTGTAGTCCCAAAACATTTGGAGGGCTGACTTTGCCTATGCCTGCTTTAGTTCTCTTTTCCTTCCTATAAGAACACTGCTAGACACTGTCGTTTCAAGAACATACAACTTTTACTTAGGCTGGATCTAGACACACCCAAGAAGTGCTTCAGAAAAATGCGTTGTAACCTTTGTAATGAGAAATCGTGTTGGCAAAAACGCAACTCCACAGCGCCATCTGATGCCACAGTGTAAAGCACATATAAAATGCTTTTTCCTAGTCTGAGTCCTTAGTGTACTTGCAGATGGCACTGTGGTCTAAACCACTGAGCCTCTTGGGCTTGCTGATTGGAAGGTTGGCAGTTCGAATCCCTGTGACGGGGTGAGCTCCTGTTGCTCTGTCCCAGCTCCTGCCAACCTAGAAGTTCGAAAGCATGCCAGTGCAAGTAGATAAATAGGTACCGCTGCGGCAGGAAGGTAAACAGTGTTTCCGTGCGCTCTGGCACTCGTCATGGTCCTCCATGCACCAATAGCAGTTTAGTCCTGCTGGCCACATGACCTGGAAAACTGTCTGTGGACAAACGCCGGCTCCCTTGGCCTGAAAAGTGAGATGAGCGCTGCAACATCATAGTTTCCTTTGACTGGATGTAGCCATCCAGGGGTCCTTTATCTTTTTTTTTTTTTACCTACTTGCAGTTGCAGATTAAATATACAATGCAGGTGGATGTTTCTTAAGTTGCCAATGTTTTAGATGAGGTAAAGGTAAAGGGCCCCTGGACAGTTAAGTCCAGTCAAAGGTGACTGGGGTTGCGGCGCTCATCCCGTTTTCAGGCCGAGGGAGTCGGTGTTTGTCTGCAAAAAGTTTTCTGGGTCATGTGGGCAGCATGATTAAATCGCTTCTGGCGCACGGAAGACCGTGACGAGTGCCATGAAACCGTTACAGACTAAATAACATTTACAGACTGACGGATGCTCTGACTCTGACGCAGACAGCCTCACAACACAACAGACCTGCTTCTCTAACGGTTAAGACTCACAAGACTGTTAATAACTGAACCAACTGATATAACGGCCACAGAACGTATGACATTACAGGATTCTACAGCCTTTTCAAATGTTAATCCTTTACATATGCATTTTGGATGCTAACATCCCACAGCTCTGCCCCAGCATATGGTCTCCACAGTTATGTCATTGTAGCATATTCTGAAATAAGTCATATGCCCAAAGACTCAGTCAGAGAAAAATTAAGTAAAAACATAATTCTTTTTTCCCTTTGTTAATTAGGGATGTTTTTAAGAGCGGTAGTCTCGTAATCTGGGGAACCGGGTTCGCGTCTCCGCTCCTCCACATGCAGCTGCTGGGTGACCTTGGGCCAGTCACACTTCTTTGAAGTCTCTCAGCCCCACTCACCTCACAGAGTGTTTGTTGTGGGGCAGGAAGGGAAAGGAGAATGTGAGCCGCTTTGAGACTCCTTAAAGGGAGTGAAAGGCGGGATATCAAATCCAAACTCTTCTTCTTCTTCTTCTGTTTACGGATTACATCAACGATCCTTACAGACTGATAAAAAATAATCCAGTTAAAAATATATATATGCTTATATGCATATTAATGGAGAGCATCTACGTTATGTCCTCGCCCTGCCTTGTCTCAAAGGCATCATCTTGCCTTGGATGGTTAGCTGACAGTGGCTGACTCTCTAGGGCAGGCTATGTTTGCAGGACAAGTTTTCACTTTCTAGTCACATGGACAAGAGAACATCCGGGTCTTTTGAGTCTCAGGAAAAGGAGGTGCAGAAGTCAAACTCTCCACTCATCCTAATGCAATCAGGACAACAGATTGCCACTCATTAATTGAGAGCTGTGAGTGTCATCTTCCAACAGGCTAATGAAACACATCCACCCAATGTCAACTATTCTCTATTATAGACTTTCTCCAGTGCCAAATTTACGTATAAGCTAAACAAGCTATAGCTTAGGGCCTCACTCTCTTGGGGCCCCCCAAAAAATTGAAGGGGGAAAAAACTATACATTTCCAAAATATAAGATAAAAAACAAATAAAATAAAACCTACATACAGCAACAGTGTTTTGTGTTGTGTAGGCCCCTATTTGATATGTGCAAATGGCTTTAGATACCTATTAGGTCCATAAATTGTAGTTGTTGAGTCGTTTAGTCGTGTCCGACTCTTTGTGACCCCATGGACCAGAGCACGCCAGGCACTTCTGTCTTCCACTGCCTCCTGCAGTTTGGTCAAACTCATGCTGGTAGCTTCGAGAACACTGTCCAACCATCTCGTCCTCTGTCATCCCCTTCTCCTTGTGCCCTCCATCTTTCCCAACACCAGGGTCTTTTCCAGGGAGTCTTCTCTTCTCATGAGGTGGCCAAAGTATTGGTGGTCCATAAATTACCATCTAGCATATATTCAACACAAAAAACAGTGGCAATCTGTTGACAAAGTACAGCTGGACATATAAAGGGCCCCATTACCTTCAGTAGCATAGGGCCTCATCAAACCTAAATCCGGCCCTGACCTTCTCTATAATACGCAGAGAAGGTCACCTGTCCTCTTTGTTCACCCATAATTCCCATTCAGTTGCCAGACTGATTTTGTTTTCTGGGACTTTCAATGGAAATCTGATCTTTCTGCTTTTGCAACCTGTCTTTGCAAAGTCCTGCCTAGTAAAGTTTCGCAACCGTCTGAGAATTTCAGTTTCACCCCTGTGTTTAGATTATATCCTGGCCATGAGAATCTCCTCTCCTGCTCTCTTTGAAATGCTTCTCGTCAGACTAAGATCAGTATTCACCTTCGCTTTTTCACTTTCTTCTCTCCCTCTTGATCAGATCTCGCCTTCCTCTTCTTCTGGGACAGCCTTCGACAACAGACTTGAAATCTACCTTTTATTTTACTTTTATCAATAAAATCCTTTTCTCTGAAAAGCTCTCATCTCGCCTCTTTCCTCTTGGTATGTTGAGTGCTCCCCACTACTAAGACTCCCAGACCAAAGCTGACCCATGCATTCTTCCTGCTTACTTGGACAAACTTGCTCGTTTCTGTGCCATCTCTATGAGATTGACAGGATCCTGTCCTCTAGCAGAACAGAGTGATGTGTATAGCAATTACCCTGCAGTCCTTTGTATTCTGGAAGGATACATTGAACATCAAAGCAGGTTTCAGACACATATAGAGCTATATGTTGTCTACGCTCTGGGAACCTCTAGGTTAGATTATTATGATGTGTTATACATTCAGACTTCAGCTGCTGCAGAATTTGGTGGACAGGTTGCTCATTGGGGTAAGACGTTTTCAGCATATAACGTCAATCTGGACTCGACTGCACTGGCTGTCAATTGGTTTCAGGGTCCAATTCAAAATGCTGGTTTTGATCTGTAAAGCCTTAAATAGCTCAAGACTGCAATACCTCAAAAACCACCTCTCCGCATATAAAGTGACCCAGACTCTGCAATCATCATCTGCAGCCCTTCTTTATGTGCCTCTTCTGCAAGAGGTCCGAAGGGTGACAACGTAAGAACAGGCCTTTTCTGCAGTGGCTCCCCGTTTGTGGAATGCTCTCCCCAGAGAGGCTTGCCTGGCGCCTTCATTAAACATATTTAGGCACCAGGTGAAAACGTTGCTTTTCAACCAGGCTTTGGGCTGATTAACAGTCAATAATAATAATAATAATAATAATAATAATAATAATAATAATATTAATACCCCACCCATCCGGCTGGGTTTCTCCAGCCACTCTGGGCAGCTTCCAACGGAATATTAAAATACAATAACCTATTAAACATTGAAAGCTTCCCTAAACAGGGCTGCCTTCAGATTTCTTCTAAAAATCTGGTAGTTGTTTTTCTCTTTGACATCTGGTGGGAGGGCATTCCACAGGGTGGGCGCCACTACCGAGAAGGCCCTCTGCCTGGTTCCCTGTAACTTGGCTTCACAGTGAGGGAACTGCCAGAAGGCCCTCGGTACTGGACCTCAGTGTCCGGGCAGAACGATGGGGGCGGAGACGTCCTATGTCCTGTTTGTGGGAGTAGGGAGAGTTCTTGGGTTTGTTTTGTTTTTGTTTCTTGACTTTATTATGCATTTTGTGGTTTTATTCCCTACTTGATCTTTGGACGAAGGGTGGTATATGATTTTGATAAAGAAAGAAATAAAGAAATAAAATGCGTCCTGAACAAATATGGTAACACTCAACTTTCCACTTGCTAAGCAGATCCTTTCCATAGGCATGAGTTCTTATTTACATCTGTTCCTCTGGGGCGAATCATTCTGGCAGTGGGAGAGCTGGGAAGCAGAGCTCACTCCATTGTCTCTGCTGTGACAGACTAGCTCCACCAGGCCTCCTTTCCCTCAGCTGTCACCTCCGGGGCAGCCATCCCATCAGACTGCCTCAGTGGCAGAGATGGAAAGCAGGGCTTATTTCGCCAGCCTTGCTGAAGGCCCAACTTCATCAATAAACACACAAGACGTAACCGGCTGTGTTCTTAGGTAAATAAGGTATACTATTCATTGTATCCAATTCATTGTATCCAATTGTAAATTTCAACAGAAGTAACTCATAAAGTTCAACAAACGAACAAAGAAGAAGACCCATTGAATCAGATCAGTCTCTAGTTGGTTCATGCATAAGGTCCATCCATGTAAAGGTGTCTATTTCACCTGTCTGTTCATAAAGTCCAAACAATCCACATGAAAAGTTACAGTTCCACAAAATCCTTTCACAGAGTCTAGACAAGGATTTCCGGAATATTGGCTTTGTTTCGCCGTCGTGGGCTTCATCAGTAGTTAAAGCACTAAGTAATGCAAATAAACACAATATCATGATCTCACACATTTTACAGCAAAAATATCAAACCATAAATAACTGTACATACCATATGTGATATTACAAGACAGTGGGTCTTATGGCATAGTACAGTGGTACCTCGGGTTACAGACGCATCAGATTACAGACGCTTCAGGTTACAGACTCTGCTAACCCAGAAATAGTACCTTGGGTTAAGAACTTTGCTTCAGGATGAGAACAGAAATCATGCGGTGGCAGTGGGAGGCCCCATTAGCTAAAGTGGTGCTTCAGGTTAAGAACAGTTTCAGGTTACGAATTAAGTACTTAACCTGAGGTACCACTGTAGTAGCTGTGGTAAGCAGCAACTGTTACAAAGTAGGGTTATATGGACAAGCACAGTATTGATTGGGTTACAGGTGTTGGCAATCCACAGATACAGAATACAGAATATATTTCTTAAATTGACCCATATGGCACAGCAAAATAAAACAAACTGAATCCATGTTCAGATGATATACATGTAAACATTAATACAAACACATACATTAATGTAAACAATGTTTGGATCTAAAGTACAGTGGTACCTCGGGTTATATACGCTTCAGGTTACATACGCTTCAGGTTACAGACTCTGCTACCCCAGAAATATTACCTCGGGTTAAGAACTTTGCTTCAGGATAAGAACAGAAATCGTGCTCCGGCGGTGTGGCGGCAGCAGTAGGCCCCATTAGCTAAAGTGGTGCCTCAGGTTAAGAACACTTTCAGGTTAAGAACGGACCTCCGGAACGAATTTAGTACTTCACCTGAGGTACAATTAAGTACTCAAAATAATCCACTTGGCCCACAGAGGTGAAACAAACTTAGTCCATGCTCAGGTGTTCTACATGTAAACATTAGTACAAATTGGGGGAAAAACAGCTCCATCAAGCACCTCCTGTCGCTGAACTGTGCCAGCTGGCCATCATTGGAAACAGCTGAGAAGAATGGGCCTTTTCTGCAGTTGTTGTCTGAGTTTTGATTTTGATTTTCCTCTTCCCTCCCTGTCCCAATCGTTTTGAACGCCCAGTCTTCCGGACTTCTAATCTTAGCAGAGGAACTATGCGTCTGCCTGAGCTATGGCGAACCTGGTTACTGTGATGAAATGGCGTCCGCTGCTAATGATTGCTGCCATGGTCTCGGCACCATCGCCTCTCTCTGACATCTCTCTCATCTGAACTGAGATTGCTGACTGACAGCTCGCACCAGTCAGAGGGACACGGCGCCAAACAGATGCCTCCGAGTCTATGTCCCCACCGTGTCGATGCCAGGACATTGCTTGCAAGACACGTGAAACTGCTGAGGATCCATTACTGAACTTTCACAAAAGTGAGACTTCTTTGGCGGTATAATTAAAAGCAGGTTTTTGTAGTAGTGCATCATTCTGGAGTAGCAGTTGAATAATGACAACGTCTTGTGGAAGCAAGGGTGGGGGAGGGAAAACACAGCAACAATATCACTATGAACGTCAACGTATCTTTGGGAAGCATGGGATAATATATACATGCAGTTGCTTTTTGGTTTGCAGTCACATTTTTTAAAAATAATTTTGGACATTTTGTTGCCGGGGGGGGGGGGGGGGATACAGCAAATAGACCCTCATCACCATGCCAGGAATCCAAGCCTTTAATATTCAGTACTCTGTACCATTCAGGTGTCAGTTTCTTCTCCCCAAAATACGCATCCTAAAGCCTGGTTTACCTTACCTAAGGTAAAGGTAAAGGTACCCCTGCCCGTACGGGCCAGTCTTGACAGACTCTAGGGTTGTGCGCCCATCTCACTTAAGAGGCCGGGGGCCAGCGCTGTCTGAAGACACTTCCGGGTCACGTGGCCAGCGTGACATCGCTGCTCTGGCGAGCCAGAGCCGCACACAGAAACGCTGTTTACCTTCCCGCTAGTAAGCGGTCCCTATTTATCTACTTGCACCCGGGGGTGCTTTCGAACTGCTAGGTTGGCAGGCGCTGGGACCGAGCAGCGGGAGCGCACCCCGCCACGGGGATTCGAACCGCTGACCTTTTGATCGGCAAGCCCTAGGCGCTGAGGCTTTTACCCACAGCGCCACCCGCGTCCCTTACCCGCGTTACCTTACCTAGTTCCATCCTAAGAGATCTCTTATACTATAAAAGGTAAAGGGACCCCTGATCATTAGGTCCAGTCGTGACCGACTCTGGGGTTGCGGCGCTCATCTCGCTTTATTGGCCGAGGGAGCAGGCATACAGCTTCCGGGTCATGTGGCCAGCATGACTAAGCCGCTTCTGGCGAACCAGAGCAGCTCACGGAAACGCCGTTTACCTTCCCTCCAGAGCAGTACCTATTTATCTACTTGCACTTTGACGTGCTTTTGAACTGCCAGGTTGTCAGGAGCAGGGACCGAGCAAGGGGAGCTCACCCTGTCATGGGGATTCGAACTGCCGACCGTCTGATCGGCAAGTTCTAGGCTCTGTGGTTTAACCCACAGTGCTACCTGCGTCCCCTCTTATACTATAGTCCTGAGCATTTGTGTCTTAGATATTTGCCTGCAAAGTTGGAGTAATATTATAGTGTGTGTGTCTATGTATTTCTTCTGGATGCCAACCTCTTAGGTGCTGTCCATTGGTATTTCATGGGCAAGGGGGAAAAAGGAAAGTATGTTGTGAATAAATATGCATTGCTTGCAAACTATAGATTTTGCTTGTGAAGAATTTTGCAAGGAAAAAAAAATTCAGAGCAAAAGTTGAGTACACAGATACACACAACGGGTGCACATACATGCACACAAATCATTTCTTCTTTCTTACTTTTTATTTTTTGCTGAGGATGCCTGACTGACTTTGTAGATTCACCGCAGCAGGTTTATAAATGATTAATGAAAGGAAGGAGGAGAAAAATGTTCAATGGAGATAAAACAACAACAACAGAGCACTGCAAGATCACTGGGACAAAGCTATTTGTCTCCTGCTATAGATGAAAATATTATCAGTCAAGACTCAGGTAAATAAGTGATATAGTGTAAAACATCTTGTAACTTTTATACAGAGTGAAACAAATCGATGGCACAACAGTTCGTTGTTATTTTGGGAATTGTGTACCATCAAATCCAGTAAAATTATATGGGAAAAGAATCAGCTATTCAGGAAGAAAAAATTGGCAGCCCAACACAATGAAAACGATTCCCTAGTATATAAATCATATAGTGGGACACACACACACACACACACACACACACACACGTTTAAGTAGCATTTACAGTTTCTTAAATGGCTTTTCTCTCTCTCTCTCTTTCATGTAATTCTCAAAATTTGTTTCCTTCTCCCAAATAATGACACATCATTGCACTTTCATCTAAACTTTTGCTTATAATCAAGTTCTCAACAAAAACAGTGAAGAGGTGGAAGTCTTGAAGTGAAATCATACTTTCCTTGGTACCATCAGGTATAGTTTCTGAACCGTTTAAGACAAAACTGATCCATTTTCTTTCATTTAAAACAAAATTGATCCATTTTTCTTCAGTCACATAAAACAGTGTGGTATGGATTGTTTAGAATTCATTATTCCGAATACAAGTAAAGGAAAAGCCAGGATCTCACCCCTTAGCACCCATTGGCACTATCTACAATGTGTGCTTGGTATAATGTCGAGCCACCTAAGGTTCTAACCATTATGATTAGTATTTATTTTTGTCTCAGACAATAATTATTGACCCACTGAAGAAGAGTAAATGTCAAATAGCGTCTGGCCATTATGTTTTTAGGAGCACTCAATTTTAATTGGCAGTGGCTTATAAGTGATAAAGAAGTGCTTACCTTATATACTGATTTATAGTGTTCATTTAATATAATGGAATATTAAAAACCTGTGTTCTTAACTGAGTATCTTACCCTAACTCCATTCTTTAGAAGTTTCAAATTCATCTAATGAAACCCATCAGTGGACATTGTGGGAGGATGTGCAGCCAAAATCACAAATACACAATTGCTAGACAGTCACAAACTGGGGTAATGGCACCACGGAGTTTCAGAACCTGTATAGAGGGGACTCTATGATGTCATACCCGCAAACCTGGTGACGGCAGAAAGACAGTGGGTTAATCCTTACCTCTTCCTTCCTTTCACTGCTCAGTCTTTTCCCTACCTGCGATGGGGGAAGATGTTTCTTTGCTCTCCTCCAGAGAGCAATCTCTATTTGATACATGCAATGTTTAAGGATTATTGCCTGCCTGATTTCCATCCCTGTATCTGTTAAATCCTGGCAAGACTTTGAAAACTGAGTAAACCTCAGGTTTTCTTGTTTACTAACCAGTCTGAGTGAGGGAAAATATAAACGGGGGAAGATAATCCATGTCTGCCTAAAGCAGCCTTGGATATCATAATTGTTCAGGTTATGCAACCTTTTAACTTTGCTGAAGTTGATATTTCCATTCTCAGTGAGAACGAGGAAGGATAACTTACTAAATAATATATCCTCTCCTACTCCTCTAAATCCATCCATCAGAGGTCCTGTGGAAGGACTTCTATTTGTGCAATAGGGCTACCCCCTTCTCCCCCCTTCCCCCAAAACTGGCTGAGTAGGGGGGGGTTCAGAGAGCAGTGAGTGGAACAGTACACACGAGGAGGTAAATCATTTCATCCAGTAAGTTGTCAATAGTAGATAACCCATAAATTAGTTTTAAAATGAAGGAAGTTAATGATGGAAGTTTACACACAAAGGGGCTTCCCCCTCCCTATTTGACAATTTGTGACTTATTTTTGTTTATAGAATGGCATTCCTTTTCTTTTTTATTTCGTTTTCCATGACACTGCATAGAACCTAATTTCCCCTCTGATAACTTTCTATAACTATAGCCTTTTATGCTGACTTTCTTCCTCTCAGAAGATGGAGTAAATTCTGGTTTGGGTATTTCACTGTCGGTTGCAGTTGTGACCTTGAGCCCTCATATAATGCTCATTTCTAAAGTGTGTTTGTGTGTGGTTTTGTGTTTTTTTAAAAAAATAAGAGTAGCATGGCTTCTTAAATAGCTTCTGTTTTACTGAGGTCTTCAACCTCACTATTTAAAGGTCTTTAACCTCACTATTTAAAACTGTCCAGGTTTCTTTTGAAATAGTACAATGAATCCCAGGTTCACTCCTGATATATGGTCTTTACCTTCAAAGTATGAACAAGACACACTCCAACATTTGACGAGAGGAAAAAAATAGGCACACTTAATTGAAGCGACATCAATAGTTCTCAAACTTTTTACCTTAACAGAATCCTCAGTATGTCATCTGCCATGCAACCCTTATGCACTCGAGAGGTTTCTGGGACATATTTGAGGGAACGTATCATGTTTAAAGCTTCAACTTGCCTAGTTTGAAAACTGTGACCTAGAACACACATTCTCCCACAGCTTAACTTTGCAAGTGTGTGTGTGTGTGTGTGTGTGTGTGTGTGTTGGGGGGGAGCTGTTTTTCAAGAAAGCTTTCCCACTGAGAAACCTCTGAGCAGCTTCTGCTGAATGTTAGGGTTCATCCCCAGAACATTTCAACTGTCAAGCGTTCAAAGGGTTTGTGTGTGATTCAGTGACAACAACTTGTTTCCAACTTGGGTTCTTCTTCTCGGCTGGAGTATGGAAGGTGGTGAGGCTGTCCGCACAAGGGCAATGATGTGTACAGGGCTTGCTGTTTCTGAGTGTTCATATGGGCACCTTTATTGTAAACAAAATATGCCCTTCTTCCCTTTTGGGGTATCCAAGAACCCGTATAGAGTCCTTAAGTGGGTTCCCTGTCGGTAGGAGAAAATAACAGAGGCCAATCAGAGAATATTGAGAAGCAAGGCAGCTAGTAAGCCTGATCTTTATTAAAGCTGTTGCAACAGGGTGCTCCCCTCACACACAGAAGGAGGTAGGAGGACCCAGAACAAAGGTGTGCCTGCCCTTGTATAGACATTTTAAATTCCCTGCCCTGGAGTTCAAGATCACCCCTCCATACATCATACATACATCACAGAAGGAGTATAACCCAAGACCCCCCACAAACATCATACCTACATCACAGAAAAGGTGGTCTACAACAGAAATTTGAATGTTGTTGTTTTTCCTGTCTGCCAGGTTACCTGGCCTTTCCTGGTAGTCTGGCCATTCCTTTGAAATGGTGATTTCCCAATTCCTGAGACAATGGGAAGGTTCCCTCTCCCTCCTTGCAGAGAAACATTTGGTCACTTTGGGAGTCAAAATGGTTTCAGGACTGTATTCCTGTGCTGCTCCAGACATGTGGTTTATATATTTATGTATGTGTTTGCTGGGTACATTTATGAACATTTATTACATATCTAAGACCTTAAAATTCTTATAACACCTTCATACAAACACGAGCAATTTCATTTCCATGCCTCTGAAATCTATC